CTTGAATTGTAGTCACCTGTCCAGATCTTTATTTGATATTATTGATCCACAGATCTGAGCATCTTGGAAGTAGGTGTTTATAATTATATAAACATATACATATTTTTTAATATAACACCATCTCTTTTTTATTTATTTTTAAGATTTTTAAGTTGATTTTTAGAGATTTAGAAAGGGAGGAGGAGGAGAGAGAGAAACACCGATGTGAGAGGGAAACACCGATCGGCTGCCTCTTGCACACACCCGACCAGGGACCGAGCCCGCAACCTGGGCATGTGCCCTGACTGGGAATCAAACTGGCGACCTTTCAGTGCACAAGGACAATGCCCAACCAACTGAGTCACAATGGCCAGGGCATTGTATATGTATTTTTAAAAATCTGCACATTTGATGTGAATTTTAAATCTGACCAGAGACCCTCTCAACATTCAGTCGGCTCCACTGCTGTGGTCAGCGTACTTTACGTTCAAATTAAACGTGACTCTAAGGACCTTTCAAAAAAGCCGCTTTCGGGGACAGCCTCAAACCTAGTCTTACACTGTCATTAACCCCAGATTATCTTGTATCCACTTTGAATATCACCGGTTATCTTCTCCTTTGAACAAATTACCTCAGTGCGTGGGTGGGCACCTCCGCGTTTGCCGTTCTAGGGTGTGATGGCTTCGGTGCGAGGCCACAGGCCCTGTGTTGCAGTGACAGGCCCTGTCCCAGCGTGTACCTAGCCAGCCGCCTCCGCCAAGCAGTAGAGAAGAAGCAGTTTTCTTTTCTTTTTTTTATCCTCACCCGAGTACATTTTTTTTTTCTATTTTTTGTTCAGATAGAGTGGGAGGGAGAGAGAGGAAGACAGAGAGAGAGAGACATCGACGTGAAAGGGACACATCGAGTGGCTGCCACCCGCACGACCAACCAGGGCCAGGGACAAACTACAACCGAGGTATACACCCTTAGCGGGAACCGAACCCGGGTCTCTCTGGACCACAGGCCAATGCTCTAACCGCTGAGCAAAACTGGCCAGGGCCGCAGTTTTATTTTCAAAATCACTCTTCTTTGTTTTCCTCATTTTGGTACAATCCATGTTATACCAAAAGCAATTTGTATCCACGATGTGGCAAGAACTTTAAAAATGTTTTCCCTATTTTACCCATCGTCCCACTTCTGACATCTATCCCAAAGAAGTCATCTTAAACTCAGAATGCGTGTTTGTGGGCACTGATGTGACTTCCAGCCTGAATGAGTCACTGTTAGAAAAACGTGGAAAGGACCTGTCTGCTCACCTGCAGGGGCATTTCTAAGTGAACGAGGACACATCCACTGGATGAAACGTTATATGGCCATTAAACACAATGCTTGTGAATTTTGTGAAACAATATGAGAAAGTGTGTGTGATACGTTTAATAGAAAGAATGAGGTAGACAAATTTCTCTGTTAAATGAAAGTATATAAAAAATAACATATAAAGCTAATGCCTATAAAATTATGTTTGGGGGGAGTGCGGGGGTGATGCAGAGGCCAAGACGCTGAAAAAAACAGATACCAAAGTGGAAATGGTGACTGTTCTGGTCATGGTATCATGAATGACTTCTTTTCCTACTATTTTTTGTAAATACTTTTCACGTTTCTTTTTGTGTGTTACTTTTATAATACTTTTAAGAAATGAATCGCTGCCCTGGCTGGTTTGGCTCAGCTGTTAGAGCGTTGGCCCATGGAGCAATGAGCCGCGGGTTCAATTCCAGCCAAGGGCATGTACCTAAGTTGTGGTTTGTGCCCGGCCCTGCTCAGGGTCATGCGGGAGGTGGCCTTTCAATGTGTCCCTCTCACATCAACGTTTCTACCTCTCTCTCTCTTCCTCCCTCCCTCCCTCCCACTCTATCTGAAGATTAATAGAAAAATACTCTCCAGTGAGGATTTAAAAAAAATTAATTACTGTTCTCCTTCTAAAGATGAGTGGCCTTTCGCTTCAGATGCTCAAGAACTTACGTTTGGGGTTGCCTGCCTACAACTTCCTATTGCACAGTCTACCTAGAGATCGGAATCTTCATGAATGTTTCCAACACAATTTGTATATACATACATATACATTTCTAAGGAGGTTTTCTGGAATTAGCATTTTTGTTCAAGGGAAGGCTTCTAATGGTGGCAGTTTTCATGGGAACCATTGAAGGGATATTTTCAAATAAATGATGGATGGCTTAACACCCTGTAAATCAAATCATGTCCAATCCCTCTATATTTAGGCCCAGTCACACGTAGGTGATTAATGAATATTTTTCATGCTAATGTTTCGCAGACCAAGGCTGTGTCTATAACCACAGAACCATCACAGTGGAAATTCTGATTCAGCTGTGTTGCGTGATAGGCGGCGTCTTTGAATAGTGCTTTGGATGATTCCGTGCAAAGGCTGTAGTCGGTGGCCCGGCTTTGCAAGTCTTTCCAGAAGTCCTACAGCATGTTGGCATGTCCTCACTTGGCCCTGTCACTTCTGCTTAAATTTTTTCATGGAGGATGCTCATGATCATGGGACATTAAGGTGCATTTCATCCTGGGCAGCCTCCCTCTGCGGAGTGAATCAGCATCATGGGATTCCCCCGGGCTCAAGCTCCCTGGTGGGTTTATTTTTACACAACATTCCTTGGGGAAAGGGGCACCCACTCTTGATTGGAGTAACCCCAGAAGACATCTTCTTGGGTAGAAGGAGGTTCCTCATTTGCTCTTCTTTCTCTGGCTTAACTTTTTAAACAAGGGGCTTAAGAATCTGTTTCCACCTACCTTACCCCTCTCCAATTTGGTTTCCCACCTCTGCCCCTCACTCCCTGAGATGGCTTTTGAGACGATCAGTGGCATCCATGCCGCTAGAATCGGGTCACTTCTGTGTCTTCCACCTGACCCTTCAACAGTACTGAACGCAGCTGACTGCTTTCTTCCTTGCAATTCTGGCTCCCTCGCAGATCGCGTGACTCCACACTTCTGTTCTGTTCTTGTGCTCACTCTCCATCCTTTCTGGCCTCTCCTCTGCGGTTTGCACGCCACAGGGTTCGTCCTGCACCCCTTCTTTTGTTTGGCTACCAATTTATCTATTTCCATGGCTTTAAATACCAATGCTATGCCTGTGACTTCCTGATGTGTATTTCTCTCCCAGTCTTGCAGCCTGAAATGCAGATTTTTATATATAATGAATGTCTAGTTGGCATCTCAAACTCAACCCTTGATGTCCTAAGGAACCCTTGATTTTTACCCTCAAACTTACTCATGGCTCCCTTCTTTACTCTGGTCAAGTCTTTACAAATGTCTTCACCGTGACACTTTTCCTGACCACGTTGTATAGACGTATACAAGCTCCTACTTCTGTGGCCTTTCTGACCGCTCTTCCCTAAGCAGGGTAGTTCCAGTTCCTTTGGGTCCAGTTCCTTGAATCTTGTTCCTTTAAATCAAAATCTAGACACAGGATACTGTGGACCTGGGAGAGAGAGAAGGTCCGTGTCCTGAGGTCCAGTCATACTGTTACCATTGAACGTATCCCAAAGATCCGTGCGTTCCCATAGTGCTTTACTTTTACTCATTATGGTTCCTCTTTCTGAAACTACTCCCCACTTTCTTTATTCCCCTTGGCTATCTGGCTAACTCCCCCTTGACCTTTCCAATTCCACTCAGGTTACCTTTTCTAGAGAACCTTACCTGGCCACTACTCAACTCCAATCAGCATCGGAAGCCACTACCCAGTATCCCGTGACCCCATGCTATATTACAATTTGTTGATTTCCTTGTCTCTGTTATTGGCTTCTTATGAACATTTTTAGAGAAGAGATGACCAACAGGTCTGGTTAAATCCCCCCTCCCAACATAGTTGAGATACTTAATAAACACTTTAAATGTATGAGTATTTGTATAACCCATGTATATGCATAGTAGGGTTAGAAACCAACCTGTCTCCTGTGATCTAAGAACAATTTATGCCGAAAGCCTATCTCTGTAGGGAAATAGAGCTACCCATTAGATTCGAAGGGAAGGGGGTTGGAGGGGTGCATGGGAGGAGGCACCTCTGCCTCCTTGGGAGGTGTCTTTGTCCTCCCCTCGCTCCAAGCTCGGTGTAAAATGCAGCTCCCCATCTAGTGTTCGCGCTCACGTTCACTCACAGCAGCACTGAGGTCAGGAGACTTTGCTAAAGCTGTGGGGATGCCCCAGGGGCCACCCTCCAGCCCCGTGCTTCTCTCTCGCTCCCCTTATCTCTCTGTGCCCATCTCTTCTCCTGAAAGAGATCAAAATTCTTCTTCCTCTGTTATGAAAGACAACGTGCCATTCTCCTGGAGCCGGAATGTCAGATCACACCCACCCAGGTCCTCATTTTGGGGTGGTGGGATGTTTGCTTGCAAGAACTGATCAGATTTTTATTTCTAATAACGACCATTCCCTTTCTAAGAATTCTGAATCTGGGGGCATAGTCACAAATAAAATGATTTCACGTATGTTAGCAGAATATAAATGAGCAGGGTAGGTGAATGGGAAGCGTGGGGAGAGATGGGGTCCCCTCTAACCTGGGCTCAGTCTTGTGCTGGGTGTCACCCTGAGGAATAGCCAGCTGGGTGGTTCAAAGCAACTTGAATGCCTAGGAGTTTCTGCAAAATCGATTTCAGACTCGACTTTTGAAGTGTGATCTGAAGAGGGTTGGGGCCCCCCAATTCCCTGGGACTAGTCCTTCAACAGTTGTTGCCTCTGTTTTCGAGCGACCGAAAGCAGAGTACCTCACCTGTCCCAAGTCAGAGGTTTTGCAGCATCTCTAAAAGGAAGGTTGCAGGTGCGTGTCCCTGTGCCTGGAGAACGGTGTAGAGGGCGCTAATTACTTTTTGTTTGTTTATGTTGTTTTGGGTGTTGCTTTTATTTCTTGAATTTGAATAAACAGTGATCGATAAGGATTTTGCACAATTAACCCCCAAGTGCATGGCTCAGAGCCCCAGGTCAGCCAGTCCGTGTTCTTGGGAAGTCTAACTCCACACTTCTCTTCACAGCAAGTGAAAAGCAGATGGCGGTGGTGTGCAAGGAGTCGCCAAAGCAGTATCTCCAACCTTTCAAGGACAGGCTGGAGGAGTTCTTCCAGAAAGGTAGGAAGCTCTGAAACATCCTCCACCCCGTGATCTCTCTCGGGGACCCCCTGCCCCGTGCATCCGGGCTGACCACCGACAGCTTCAATGAGCCCGTGAGTCCAGCTCCCCATGGCAGTTACATCCTCGGGGTAGATGGAGCTGTCCCATAGCTTTCATAACGCCTTTCAAATCTGCTTTCATATTTTAAATATTTAACATTACTCCTGTTTTTGTAAACTTTGGGGAGAAGATTTTTCCTTTGTCTCTTCATGGAACCCAAGAGGACCCCAAGAGGATCCCCAGTACATGTAAACTGACAAGTGACATACAGGCCAGGCAGACACCGTCGCGCGTTTCAGGTTTACCGTCCGCGTGGGCAGATGGAGGGTGATGATATTCCTCGTTTTATGAGTGCAGCAGTTGGAAAACTCGTGCTGTAAATTTTCCATTACTTTCCAGAAAGGAAAATTGGGGCCAGGTGAATGTCACACATGCAATCACTGGACACCCATCAGCCCGTTGGGGTCCGTGGGTGGAAGTGATATGCACGAGACCCAGGACCTCTGTAGAAAGCTTACCGAGTTACGTTTCTTCCCCCAGGGTTTTGGCAGGAGTAGGGAACTTTGGTTGACCACTGTTAGTGAATGTGGAAGTTTAATGTATTTGGGATACCTCCTAGTCTAATTCCTCAAATTCAGCTTAAGAAGTGGATCAAAAATAAGTATGACACACAACTTGCAGTTATAAAATAAATTAAGTCCTCGGGATGTAATATACAGTGTGGTAACTACAGTTGATAATACTGTATTGTCTATTTGAAAGTTGCTGAGAGAGTAGATCTTAATAGCTCTCATCTGAGGGAAAAAAAAGAATTATAACTATGTGGTGATGGATGTTCACTAGATGACTTATGATGATCATTTCACAATATATACATATATTGAATTATTATGTTGTACACCTGGAACTAATATCACGTTATATGCCAATTATATTTCAATAAGGAAAAAAATACGCGTGGTGTAGTTAGAGGGAGCTTTTGTGTTTGCTAGAGAGCCAGAGGAAATGCACGTAGGAACATTTGGGGATAGATCAACATGCTGTTTCTATTTATTAGGAAGGTCACATGATGCCACACCATCAAGAAAAGACCATTACGCAGGGCGAATCCATACAGTGTGGCCAAACCATCTTGGGGACTGGCAGGGAAATTCTTAGTCCAAGATTCAGAGGGACTTCGTTTCAGCAGCACCCTTGGTGCAGATGTCACGCCCCCCACCCCCGAGCCAGAGCTCGCTTGTGTTGGAGTGGACTTCAGAGTTCTCCCTGGGACGCTGCTGAACCTCATACAGGATGGAAGCAATGCTGTCAGCACAGCACCGTCTTGAGAGCAAACAGTGATCCCAACGCGTATGTGTCATGTGACTAAAATTAGGTGGGTTTTATATGTGATTCATCAAAGTAGATGTATTGTTTTGTGACTATTCCATGTAAATATGACGTCAGGGAGCTGAAGAAAAGCATGAAATACTTCTGCTTGCTGACCCCAATTAAGCACTTCTGCTTTTGACATGTATGGAATTAACTCGAAATGAGGCTCATGTGTACCTAGATTCCAATTTTATCTTTAATTGCTATTAGTCTACATCTGCAAAGTTAGCAATATTTGTATCTGGGTATTGCCTGCCTGTATGCCGTAGTGGCCTTAATTCTTTCTCCTTAAACCAGCTCGCATCTTAAAACTTAAATTGTGAATTTTATTGGTTTTTGTTAGAAAAAGATAAATATGAAAAGGTTTAGACCCTTGAATATCTTCTTTGGTGCCTTGGAAAAGGAATTTGCAAATTCCTTTTGGGGTTCTATGTTAGTCTCTCCGTTACTAGGTTTCTCAGGAAACACCTGGTCTGTTCTGAGAGAGGAAATGGACTCGAGGCTAAGTGGACCTTATGTCAGAGAGGCAAGGACGCGGCCACAGCTAAATGTTTGAAGAAAGCCGTAGAACAGTGGTTCTCAACCCTGGCTACACACTAGAATCACCTGGGGAAATTTTTTAAAATTTTGACTCCAGGCTGCATCTTTGGGGGTGGGACCCGTCATCAGCATTTTGACTTCCCAGGTGATTCCAGTGTGCAGCCCAGGTTGAAAACAAAACCATTCTAGTCTAGCTTAGTTTACCTTTCTTTTTTTATTTTTTTCGATAGAGTGGAAGGAAGGGAAGAAGGGAGAGAAAAACATCCATGTGTCACACATCAATTGGTTGCCTCCCATACAACCCCTACGGGGCTGGGGATCAAACCTAGAACCCAGGTATGTGCCCTTGACAGGGAATCAAATCCGGGACCCTTTGGTCCACGGGTGGATGCTCTAACTGCTGAGCCAAACCAGCAAGGGCTTAGTCCACCTTGCAATGTGTATTCAAAGACGTTTATTCAGAGCCCACTACCCACTAGGGACTTCGATAAATGTCATGAATACTGAGATGAGTCATGTACCCTCGCCCTTTCCCAAGGACTGGCTTGTTGGGGGAAGATCTAATTGAATGAAGGAGTCAGCTCTCCTTTAACCCACATAGTGAAGGGAATATGGAAAGGGCATGAAAGATAACCTCAAATCATAGTCAGAACAAAACCAGCCAAGACGAAGCACAGGAAAGAATCTAAAGGAAAATTACCATTCTATAAGGAATGGTAAAATATATAAATTAATACTGTAGGAATCTTAAACATGCCTGATATTGTATGATGAAAAGAGCCACTGTTGAAACAGCTTATTTTTATCTCATTACTTAACTGAGTTGTTCAAAAATCAATGTAGATTTCTACTGTCCTATACATATGGCAAGAACTAGCCACATGCGACTGTTGAGCAGTTGAAATGAGGCTAATCCAACTTAAGAGTGGGTAAGGGTAAAACACGTAGCAGATTTTGAAGACTCAGTGCAAAAAAAAAAAAGCACATGTTCCATTTTTTATTTTTGGGCTGGTGACACGATAAAAATGATAATATTTTAAATATATTGGGTAAAAGACATAAAGTGCTAATATTCATTTACCTGTTTCTTTTAGTTTTTAAGCATGGCTACTAGAAAACTTAAAATTGTGTATGTGGGTCACATTATATTTCTATTGAACAGCCCTCGTCTAGAAGACATGGTCCCTTGACCTTTCTCCCCTCCTTCCTTCACTCTCCTCTTCACTTTTTCACTCTGCGTTCAGGTGAATCCTCGGCGGCTGGAGTGCAGTTCCACAAGCTAGCCCTCCCGCTTTTACTCTGGATCTGGCCTTTGTGTGGCTCTCAAACGGGGGTGCTTAACGGAAGGAGATGTCAGCATGCCACGTCATCAGACTTCTCCTCTGTGGTTCAGGGCTGGGGCCTGACCAAGCTGCAGGGTATACGAATGGAATATTCCGTGGCTACTATTGGGTTCTAACGAGTACTTCCTTTTCTTATGCTGATGTTTCACTGATTCATAAAATGTGTAGGATTTTCCATCCACAATAAATATGCATTATCCACCCTGGATAATCAAATTTTAATGGCAGTTATCATACAATTTAAGTATTGTATCTTGCCCAGCTGGTGTGGTTCAGTGGATTGAGCGTCATCTCATGGACTGAGAGATCCCGGTTCGATTCCTGGTCAGGGCACATGCCCAGGTTGTGGGCTCAATCCCCAGTAGGGGGCATGCAGGAGGCAGCCGATTGATGTATCTCTCTCACATTGGTATTTCTGTCTCTTTCTAAAAAATCAATAATAATAAAAAAAAAGTATAGTATCTCATCTACTATGCCAGTCATTGTAAGAAACATCATGATTACAAGTACTACTAAGAAAGAAACATCGCTGGCATTAAACCATGGTGTGTCATAGAGTGTACAATGTAATAACAGAGATGCTAAAATATGAAAATTCTGTCGATTTTGAAGTGGATACAGTATTAGCATATAGAATTAGAGAGGAGGAATGCCTTCCTAACACCTCCAGGTACGTCAGGGAAGACTTTCAGCAAATGAGATGTTTTGTTCAGATTTGGGGGGTGGGGGTGGAGAGACAGTGACAATGACAGCTAACGTTCGGTGAGTGCCGCTGTGTGCCAGACGCTACGCGGAGATCTTCCTTCCCACTTAGTCCTCGTGACAACCCTCTGAGGTGAGCACTGTTGCCATCTTGTCATACAGACGAAGCAACTGAGGATCAGGAGTTCTTAGCCGACAAGTTCTGAAGGGTATTCCAGGCAGAGGAGAACACTGCGCATCTCAGGCTGAAAGGCATGCTGTGTTCAGGGCTTGGCAAGAGACTTGGTGTAGCGAGGTCACAGGGTGTGCGGGAAGAACGCAGACCCAAAGGCGAGGGGAGTCACAGTATGACTTGCTAAAGAATCTGAACATTGTCTCACAAGCAACAGAGAGCCTCTCAAAAATAGCATGTGTGGGAGCGCCATGCTCACGTCAGGCTTGTTTTGTTTTGCACGTGGGATCATTTTGCTTTTTTGTTGCGACAAGTACATTATACCTAAGAGCAACATGAAGAAGATTGGGAATAGTAAAAGACTGCAAGCCAACCCATCAAGCTCTTCTTCTGAACAGCAGTCCAGGCCAATGATGGTAAGAACACGAACAAAAGCAACCACAGCAAAAATAAGAAAGGAAGGGACATTTATAAAACTTTGAGTAGTTACTGGACTAGACAATCCATTGAAAGTACAAACACTTCCAGAAAAGTTTGGGAGAAAAGGGTGATGCCTTTCGCCTGCTTGGATAACTGGCTGGATACCGATGAGGAGGACCGGATTTGGGAGGAAAACGATGACAGAAACTTGGGACACATTGGTTTAATACATGTATGAGACACAGAGGAAGAGATGTTGGGCTCGTGGGAGAGGACCAAGTGAGACTTAAGAAGGTAGCGGGAATGAATGAGATATGTAGCCCAAAGAAAGAGTGTAGAACAAGAAGTTACTGAAGTGTCAGAGTCTCTGAGCCCAGGAAGTAATAGAATAACTATAACTGAGAAAAGAT